CTCTGCATTATCAAAATTTAATAAAATAGTGAATTAATACAATTTTAAAGTTTATTTAATCCGTGTGACACATTTTCACAGGAGATTCACATCTGTATTACCTCATCTGTGACTAGGTTGAGGCATCCAGCCACGCCATCAATCCCAGTAAAAACATTAGGTCACGTCAGCTAGTTTCATATCCATTTATTTTATTATCCATGCTCCTATGGTGAAAGTCTATGATTCGTTTAAGCCGGCGCGCGGGAAAATCAGCTTTCAAAAGGACTAAGGAGAGTTTCGAGGAGTGAAAAAAATTCTGTCAAAAGTTTGTTTTCGAGCAAAAATTTGCAAGAAAAACACTTTTTCCATGGGAATACAACAATGATTGGGATTTAAACCAAGTTTCCGATTAGTTCCGACTGTTTTACATCTCTCTGCAGCAAAAAGTAAGGAATTTTGCTTTTCTTTTTTGAAAAAAATGACGAAAGTTTGGACGTGCCGAAGGAAATCTCGCAGTTCAACTCAAAAATATATACTATAAAACATTTTGACAGTTCCAAAACTTATGTTGTACTAAACCCCAGGTATTGTTATTGATCCTGAGCTTTTAGTCCTTGTTTTAGTCACTCTTAAACATAAATAAATTGGCGTTTTTCAAGTGATGTTATTTTCGTCATCGGCATCTTGTTGGCCACTATGAGCACTTTGAATATGGCAATATTTTTGTCAATTTTCAAATGCTTTTTTTTCGACCTTAAAACGTTAAATCTTCTTGAAACTTCGCATACAGATGTATTTTGCATGGGTATAAAAAAATCCTGAGGTATGACGTCTTAGTTTTATCTTAAACTTCCAAAAACTCAGAAAAAGCAGCCTAGAACGCGCGGTTTTTCAGACCGTTCATGCTTATGGTCGTGTTTTTCGAATTTTTTTTTGGTAATTCGTGATTTGTTTGCTTTGCGAATATTAAATTAATTTATCATACTACCAATATAAATTAAATTTGGTAGTAAAACTAATATTTTGGGGCAAGATTTTTCTGATCAAAAAATGTGCATATTTTGAAAAAAAAATTTAAAAAGGACTGGGTCTACCTACAAAAAAAGCTCCAAGCACGGCTTCAACTCCCCCCCCCCCTGACTTAGCCTTCCAGTTATTATTAGAGTTCACTGTTTTGGCATGACCGTAATTCGTCGTCAAAATGCTGATGCCATGGCCCTGGCTGGTGCGCATTTGGGAGGCATTCACCCCCTGATAATATTCAAAATGGCAGACGTCCAGGGGGAATGCCTCTCGAGCACGCACCGGCTGGGACCTGGCAGCTGTTACTCGAGTCAACCTTCTGTGTGGCTTTGTTCTGTGCCAGGAGGTGACTGCTTCTGCTTACTGTATAGTGTTCTGAGTCATGAGGTTTCATAGTTTTGCATGATGGCTTGCAACATGTACGCACTGCGTACCTATTTTTTATTTATAGCAAAATTTATTTTGGTAATTTGAATCATTTTCAAAATCTAAAAAAACGTCTGTCATGCCAAAATTTTTCAAGATCGGAAAATGTAATAATTGGTAACAATTTTTTCCTGCATGGCAGAATTTTTTAAAAATCATAACTACAATGATTCAAAATACTAAACAAATTCTTTTAATTTAATTAATGACATAAAAAATGGGAGTAACCGACCTTATTTAGAAGTTAAATAAACATTAAACCCAAAAATATTGGGCATATTGAATCATCATTGTTGCCAGCAACGGCAGTGCGATTCCTTTTTTTCGAAAAAATCCAACTCAGTCTGTAGTATTATTATTATTTTTCTAGTCGGACTTTCTTTCAATGGCTTTTAACAAATTTAGCCCCCCCCCCCCCTCAGTTTTTTGGGCAGTCGAGCAATATTCGATCAACAGTCGGGCAATTTTGGTTTGCAATAAAAAAAAATGAGACAAATTCTGACAATTTTGTCTAAAATTAAGTCAATTTTTTGGCCAATTTTGTTATTTTTCGAAAATTTGTGTCATGTTCGGAAAAATATTGGTAGTCCGGAAAATTTTTTTAACCCCTAAAATGGTACACTGACCGAAATTTTTTTGGTACTAGTCGGGCAGAATCCAGAAAAGTCGGGCAATTTTCTTTCCGCCCCCCTAATTTTTTCAATTCTTTGTCTTAAGAGACACCCAACCAATGATAGTTCATCCAGACTCATTATGCATATAAAGACGGCACACAGACGAATAATCCAACAAAGCGAGACTGTGATACAAAAAAGCCAACAATTATTTGTTAATAATTCAACATGGTGGCTAAGGAAAATAAGGTTTTGGCTGCTTCCCCAGCTGTTTCAACATAAAAAAAATAGCAAAGTCTTGTACATGCAGATGTATAATATGCATCTCTAGTATAAAAACGACCAATATGCCTGGTTGATGCACCAATCGATTTAATACTGTTGACATCCCTTCCCCAGGGTCCGAATTAACGCTTCGCAAATCGCAAAATGCGATTCTAGAAGTTGCGAAGCTTCTTTAGTTAATGCTTGATAATGTTGATATGGGTGCGTACACGTACGGAAAAATTATTTTAAATCCATTTAAAACTAAAAGTTTTTTTATGAAATAATTATAGTGTAAATGAATAAAAGGCCAGCATTTGGTTTTGTGAATTATTTAAAGCCTATTTGTTGAGGTAGTTAGTGATAGTAATTAAATAAAATTTAGAAATATTTAAACTTTTCCGTACGTATATACGTGCGAAAAACGCAGCCTTTATAGGGCCAAACAACGAAAGCGTAACGTTTTGGCATTCAGCACATGATAACATTGCTTTGATAATTACTTGGCACGGATTGCCTAAATGTCTATACAAATGCGAGAGCATGCACATTTTAGAATTTTCAATTTCAATACCGAAGCGTTTGATTTTTAGCAGAATGTAGGGCTTTATCCAGCGTGAAATGATTGCAATCACGTTCTAAACGACTTGGCAAAATCATTGCATGCGCCGCATTCCTTTTTGTGATGCTCAAAAAAATTGGGGGGGGGGGCAAAATGTGTATTTAAACGTGAAATTTTTCCAAAAAAATGCGAAGCTGTTTTTTAGCGATAATTCGGACCCTGCTTCCCGCTAGGGAATTTGACTTTTTAAACCACTGCAAGGGTGGGGAATTTGACAACAAGCCACAAAACCTGGGGCATTTGACAAGATCACTCCTTGTTTTACCAGATGCTTTACTATGCCTACTGGGCATAAATTCATGTTGACATTATTAAATTATTTTGCTGTTTTCTATGCAAGGTATGTTTGCTTTGAGGGAACTCTGTTATGTTTTTTCTTTAACATTGTACATATATTATAGCAACAAATATATACACATACTGTTGATATATTTAAATTTTGAAGTCACTTTAAAATTCTGAATTCGTGTTTACTAAATTTTCACCCACAATTCCAAATTTGAACTGAGAGAATTACAGTCAGAATAACCAGACTTATTCAACTTATTCGTTTTTACATAATTCAGTTTCTGACATAGATATGCCATGTACTTGGTCTCTTGTTCGAGACCGCCCATGTCACAGAAACTAAAATAATGTATAGTTCTTTGATTGAAGTAAAGTTTGTTTCTTGTACATGCCCAAGTCACATACATGTTTTCAAAACTAAGTTAGTTTTATTTTCCGTACAAATTTTCCAAAATCTACATCTTACGTATTTGGAGATCTTTTGTGGGTATGTGCAAATCGAGCTTTACCTCATGTCTATAATTTATAGTGTAATGTAATTTTTTTTGTAAAGTTTGTAAGGGAGGTGCCTCGCATGGGCTTTTTCTGACCCGTTCGCACATTTCCTTTTCAGTAATACCTATTTATTGTAATTATTGTTAGTATTCCCAATAAAGTTATAGTATAACCAAGACAACTGATAACAGACGCGTGGCCTCATGGGACTTTTTTAGTTGAATTTGGTGGGGTCGTTCTTCCGACCGGAAGTCTTTACCTTGTCTATAAGATTTTGCAAAATGTAATGCATTACAATGAAGTTTAATACTAATTTGGAGGAATTTATTATGATTTTATAAAGACCCAGGGGGTGGGGCATTTGACCTTCAATTTGCCTCATATCTGAGGTTATTTGAACTGTATTTTTGGACCTGGGGTGGGGATTTTGACTGCAAAATATCAAAAAATTGAAATGCCTGGGGGGTATATCATTTATCATTTTGCAATCACCAAGGCCAAATAATTAATGTAAAATACTGCAAGAGAAAAGTCACTTTGTGTGGGCTACCAACTTTCATGACCTACAATTTACCAGAATACGTGATTGATACTAAGATACTTAGCCGACCGTGTTACATAAGGTATTTCATCAAAATTGTAGTATTTTATGAGAAAAACATGGTGACTGTACAATATCAACATGGCGACATGGCGTGCTTACCTTGGAAACAAGGACTCAGTGTGAACACAAATTATGCATTTCAAACAATATATACGGCTCTAAAATCATCTTGCTTTATCGTTGCTTCTCTCTTATTCTTCTAAACCATCTCAAAACACACAAAAATTGTAAAAACTAACCCATATTTTCTCATATAACCAAGACAACTGATAACAGACGCGTGGCCTCATGGGACATTTTTAGTTGAATTTGGTGGGGTCGTTCTTCCGACCGGAAGTCTTTACCTTGTCTATGGGATTTTGCGAAATTTAAGTGCCGAAAAAAATTTTTAAGGCATTACAATGAAGTTTATTACTAATTTGGAGGAATTTATTATGATTTTACTGCAAGAAAAGCTGAAGAGAAAAAAGATTGAAAACATGAAAAACGAAATGTGTCAGAAGTGGGATTCGAACCCACGCCTACAAGAGTAGACTGCGACCTGAACGCAGCGCCTTAGACCGCTCGGCCATCCTGACAGCCACTAGAATTTATCAAAATTAATTTATATAAACGTTTTTGTTGTCTCTTGTTCGAAATTCTATTTTGAACAAATTCGGAAATTCCAACTATATTTTCCAAGATGGAGTCCAATACTGAGTGAAATTATATCGTAGTATAAAGATTTATCATTTACGTTAAGTTTTTAGCTGCATAATCAACTGTAAATCCATCATATGGTTCATCATAAGTGCTTTGTTCGTAAAAGTGTGTCAAGTTTGACCACGGCTATTAACCGTGCCCGTGGTTTGAACAAACGTTGTGTGATATTACAGAAACAAGCAATTTTAAACAGTCGGACATTTTCCTCGATTATTCAAGATGGAGCAGCTATTGTTGGATGCGAAAAGATTAATGTTAAAACTGAAAGAAGATGATAATGCAGCAGATATGATAGTGACTGATGGAACAAATCTTCTGAACAGAATTAAAGCTATGAAACAGGTATTGAAATATGTATATTTATAAAAAATGATTAAATGTAGACATTTATCAATTTTATGACAAGTACACTCGTCTGTTAAATATAAAAATATTCCCTTTATGAAAATATCAATACATGTATTGAATCGACACAAGGAAGTGGTTATTCATCCAACTAAAGTCAAACCATGTAAAGGGCTATTCCATTTAAAATCCGTACACCCCCTGTCGACCAGTCTGGAAAGTTAACTTTTTGCACGCCAGACATCGATTCAGGAACATGTAACTGTACGCCAATTTTGGAAATGTAGATGTGCAAAAGTTCCAAATACACCTTTTTAGTATAAACCTATTTGGTCCATCTTTGTTGAATTTGAACAATTACTAGTCTATGTAAACAAATGTACGCCATTATGTACGCCAAAGTTTGTGTTTGTACACCGGACATGTCCGGCGTACACACCTTACATTCTAGTCTGGCCTGTCGAGGATACATGTTTTTTATGGTTATACCCCTGAAGAATTCCAAGCTCAAAACCTTATACCCCTGAAGAATTCCAAAATTCCAAGCTCAAACCCTTTACCCCTGAAGAATTCCAAGCTCAAAACCTTTTACCCCTGAAGAATTCCAAGCTCAAAACCCTTTACCCCTGAAGAATTCCAAGCTCAAAACCCTTTACCCCTGAAAAATTCCAAGCTCAAAACCTTTTACGCCTGAAGAATTCCAAGCTGAAAACCCTTTACCCCTGAAAAATTCCAAACTCTGAAAA